GCCATGTATTGCAACAGCACACCCCAGAGTTAAACTTTGGTCAGCAGACCCACAGTACAGAGGTTTAAATTCCCTATTCCAGTATTATAAGGGTTAACCCTAGAAGTGTCAGCCATAGAAATTATAACTATCTCAATTATGAGCAGTAAAGTGGGCGAGAAATAATACAGGCAACACAAAACCAGTAAAATGTTCATTATTTACATTAACTATGTAACTTCTGGTTCTCAGCCATCTATTGAAATATTCTGGAATTGCCTCTATTAACTGTGAATTTATTAGTTTATTTCATTCTCACATTTTACTGATAGGGGAGTAATCATGGCCTATTTTTAGGTACTATCCCAGCTTGCATGAAGGGACTACAAGAAGCAATGAATTCAAGACAGCAGGTCACCAGTCTGAGACATTAACCTAGGAACTCGCTAATATAAATCAAGAATGTTAATCACAAAACCACAGCATATGGTTAGCTAAACCCTATCGTCATTAATATGTTTCTTCTAAAACAATAGTTTCAAGGTGGGATATATGTTGCCCATAACCACACCATGAAAGACTTAAACTGAGAAATATGGTTTCACTTTGACAATGATTGGTCAAAAGAAGCAAATAATTTGAGTTATATGTGCAAGGAATAAAATTTAGGGAAATAAAATTAAAATATATGAAGACTATTTTGTGTTGTTTTTGTTGTTGTCCACTGCAGAAGTTAAGATCTGAACCAAGAACTCATGGATAGTACTTGTGTGGTTAATATTTTAGAATTTAACTTATCACTGATGACTTCTGGCTGTCATGAAATGATTAAGAAGCAATCCCCAGAATCCCTTTCATTTCTCAAGACTGAAATCCTGAGGGTGCTTTCCTTGGGGACCAGGATGCAACTACTGTTAGTGGTCGGGGGAAGTGCTGCCATCATCACGACGAATGATGGAACTTGACAAAGGTGATGGCTGCTACCTCCTTACAGAATTCTTCCAGTACCACCACACTTTCAAGAAGACTATTTTCTTCCTCCCTAGGTAAATAAAACAGCACATTACCATCAGTACATGAAATACTATAAAAGGTACTGCATTTCATTGTATAATTCATGCACCCTCAGTTTAGGTTCTGAAACTGAGGAAATAGTAAATCCACAAATATCTCACACACACTGCATTCATACATATGAAAGACAAATATCAACAAAAGTCTCCATACTGAAGTCTAGGAGGGATAGTAGCAGATATGAGGAAGCCTGAATGAGTGAAAAACATTGGACTGAATGCACAGTTCTCAATTCTTCCTATGTCACCTTGTAGTCATGAGATGGATGTTGCTGAGTTTTTTCAGGAAGCTGTGTGACATGAAGACTGAGTTAATAAACATGTAAATAGTTTAAATAAGATGGGAAAGGTGTAATCCATACTGGTATACACACACATTCGATCTTAGCAAATTCTGAATTATTAATAAAATATTATGCCAACAAAATTGCTTAGAAAACTTTACTTTTCAACTATATAAATCATGTGGTCTTTAAACAATGTAAATTAATACTGATAAGTCACAAGGCACACTAACTCTGTGGTAGCATAATGAACTTTTTTATCTATGGGGCCACTCACTCACTCAATGGTGCAGGATATTCTTTGAAAAGTTAATTGTATACTTGGCTTGTAAAAGAATACCTTGCTTTCTTCATGGAACCTGAAGGTCTTATCTACAGGGCCACATGGTGAAATTCCAATAAAGTGAAAATGCTTTTCTTTCATTGAGTTATCATGTTATTTTACATTATACAAAGAATTACTACACCAAAGTCTTGTATTTCCCAAAAATATACAACCATACATCACTATATGGCCCAATTTCAAGTGTTTCTTTATTTATTAGTTTCCTTTGCAAATAGCTGATATGTTAAAAAAAATTGTGTACTTCAAGCTGTTTACTTTATCTCTTGAACATTCTGGGATGAAAAATAACAGTTTTAGACAAAGCAAAAGGCACCCATTGCCTGACATTCTCCACCACAACACAGAAACCAATTACAGTTTTCTTCCACCCAGTTGTGCTCTTTCTTTCAAAATAATTTACATGTTGCAAATTGATCACTGCTCTTTCATGTGATGCTGGTAACTTAATTATACTTTAACAGCAGTGATATTTTTAGGCAACATAATAACAGCAAACTATGACTGGGGGGAGAGGCAGTCAGTTCAATAGATGATGTCACATCATGGAAGGAACAGCTCGCTACTGACAATGCATATGTTCACATTATCTGCTCAGGCTGGTGGATGACATCACACCACAGCAGGCACTAGCCAGCGCTGCACCATCACATTGTAGAAAAGAGGTTTAGAATTCTGATCATTTCATAGTGTGAAATATTGATATGCTAGTGAACAGCAGCTGAACATTACTGTGGCTGTGCTTAGTGTTAAGCTAAATAGTATTCAACCCTACGTATGGCAACATAACAAGACTGCTTAAATTCAAATACAAAGCTTAAAGCAGAACATCTCTATGAAGTACACAGTTTGGGAAAGACTGAAATAAGTTGGCAACATGAATTTTATTCAATGTTATTCATCATGTTGAATAACGGAAACAACATACTATCATCTGTTCTATGTGATGGAAGACCAGTGTACTCCATTCCATTTACAACAAGCCCATAATTTACCATTTATACACACATAAGACTTGGTTTGACTTGACTTTGTTTTATATTACACCTACCTAAAAAGTTCCATACAAATATATGCAAACATAGTGAATTACAGGCAGAATGTGGGTGGAATTTGTGGGCATACAACAAATAGTAGGTGGGAATTTTGCCAGTTGGACCGCACATAAACCAACAAGCATGGTCAATAAACGTTAAACAATACATTTAGCAGGGCTCTAAGTTTTAGGATGCCTGTATGGAAGACTAACTGTAGCAATCAAATCATTAGACTACTGACTGATGGGCACTAACCTGCAATGGGGAATTTATCACAATTTTCAAGCCCTGAAAGTGGAAAAACAGAAATCAAGACAATCATATCAGATATTTATTTTCAAATGTTGCCCTCGGTGGACTAGTGGTTAGCGTGCTCGCCACTGGACCCAAGGTTCGCGGGTTCAATCCCGGCCAAGGTCGATGGATTTTTAAGGGTGATAAAAATCCGTAGCACAACTTCCTTCGGAGGGGAAGTAAAGCCGGCGGTCCCATGTCGTAGTTTACGGCATGTAAAAGAAACTTGCGAGCATGATACGAGATGTTTTGTAAGCAAAACTCAGCAGCCATTTCTCACCCATGTCTCTCTCCTGATTCACTGCTTAACTGCTAGATGGCTCTGGCAGTCAAATCAGGAGTGAGTATAAATTGTGCAGTCAGTGGGCTGGTCACTCACTACTCATAAATACATGCTTTAAAGACTATGAAACCTACGAAAGGAGGCGGCGATGACCTGCTACTAGGTTAAGCTACAAATAGAAAATAGATTTATTTTCAATAACAAATAAAAGCTTATTTGTGGTTATTTTGGAAGGCAGAGTGGCAAAAAGAGTTGGCAAGAATGGAATGAAAGCAATGGTGTTTGCAGACGATGTGATGGTGTGGGACAGAGAGAGAAGGAAAAGTGCAACAACAGTTGGAAGTATGGCAAGAGGAGGTGGAGAGGTGTGGCATGAAGTTTAACATCAAGAAGTGTGAGGTGGTGTGTATATCACGAACGCAGAACAGAGTATGGAACGGGATTGAATTAAGGGGAGAGAAACTCAAATACTTGGGAAGTGTAATCGAGAAAGAGGGTCGCAATAGGATGGAGCTAGTAAGGAGGGGACAGCAGGGAGAGAGTTTCTACAGAGCGGTGAGAGATTTACTATGGCAACAGGAAGTCCCAATGAGGTGCAAGAGATTGCTGTATTAGGTGTACCTTGTACCAATTGTTACATATGCAGCAGAAACTTGGACATTGGGAAGGAAGGAGATATGGAAGGTGGAAAGAATGGGTATGAAGTTTTTGAAGAGTGCATTGGGTATAACAAGGAGGGATAGAGTATGGAATGAGGAAGTTAGGAAACAAATGGATGTGAGGGGTCTGGTAGAGAGAGTAGAGGAAGCAAGAATGAAGTGGTATGGACACGTGAAGCGAATGGGAGAAGAGCAGATAGCATGACAAATGTTGGATATGAGAGTGACTGGCACAAGACCAAGGGGAAGACCACGAAGAAGGTGGGAGGAG